TGAGGTTTTTAGCATCTATGTACATCAGCAAAATTGGCCTGTAGTTTTCTTTCTTGGAAGGGTCTTTATCTGGTTTTGGGATTAGGGTGATGCTGGCCTCATAGAAAGAGTCTGGGAGTCTTCCCTCCTCTTGGATTTTTTGGAATAGTCTGAGAAGGACAGGGGTTAGCTCTCCCTTAAATATTTTGTAAAATTCTCCTGTGAAACCATCCAGCCCTGGGCTTTTGTGTGCTGGGAGTTTCTTGATTACTGCTTCAATTTCCCCAGCTGTTTTCGGTCTGTTCAAGCTTTCTGTTTCTTCCTCCTTCAGTGTTGGAAGATTATACTTTTCTAAAAATTTGTCCATTTCATCAAGATTTTCAAATTTCTTGGCATATAGTTGTTCATAATAGTTTCTGATGATCATTTGTATTTCTGTGGTATCAGTTGTTATTTCTTTTCTTTCATTTCTGATATTATTCATTAGGGTCCTCTCCCTTTTTTTCTTGATGAGTCTGCTTAAAGGCTTGTTAATTTTATTTATCTTTACAGAGAACCAGCTTCTGGATTGGTTGATCCTCTGAATTGTTCTTTTTCTCTCTATGTCATTCAGTTCTGCTCTAATCTTGACTATTTCCTTCCTTCTACTTGCTCTGGCATTTATTTGTTGTTGTTTCTCCAGTTTGAAGTTGTAGTGTTAGGTCTTTTATGTGAAATGTTTCTATCTTTTTTAGGTAAGCCTGTATTGCTATGAACTTTCCTCTCAGGACTGCCTTTGCTGTGTTCCATAGGCTTTGGACAGTTGTCTGTTCATTTTCATTTGTTTTCAGAAATGTTTTGATTTCTTATCTCATTATTGAGCCATTCATTGTTTAATAGTCTACTGTTCAGTCTCCATGAGTTTGAACGTTTTTGAAGTTTCTCTTTGAGGTTGATTTCCCGTTTCAAGGTCTTGTGGTCCAAGAAAAAGTTTGGTATTATTTCAACTTTCCTGAATTTGCTGAGGCTTGCTTTGTGTCCTATCATGTGGTCTATCTTTGAAAAAGTGCCATGAGCATTTGAAAGAATGTGTATTTTTCTTCTTTCGGATGTAAGGTTCTATATAGGTCAGTTAAGTCTCTTTGATTCAGTGTGTCATTCAGTGCTACAATATGTTTATAAATGTTTTGTTTAGAAGATCCATCCATTTTGGACAGTGGGGTGTTGAAATCCCCTACTATCAGTGTGTTGCTGTCTATATCTTTTTTGAAGTCATCCAACAATTTCCTTATAAATATGGGGACTCCTATATTGGGAGCATATAATTTTACAATGTTGATGTCTTCTTGATAGATTCTTCCTTTAAGTATTATAAAGTGTCCCTCTGGATTTTTCTTTATGGCCTTTGTTTTGAAATCTACTTTGTCTGATACAAGTATGGCAATGCCAGCCTTTTTCTCTTGCCCATATGCTTCGAATATTTTTTTCCATCCCTTTACTTTCAATCTGTGTAGGTCTTTTGCTCTGAGGTGGGTCTCTTGTAGGCAGCATATGTGTGGGTCATGTGTTCTTATCCATTCAGCTACACTGTGTCTTCTGATTGGGGCATTTAGTCCATTCACAATGAGAGATATTACTGATAGAACTTACTCATCTTTTCTCTTCGTACTTGTGTTCCTCTCTGTCTCATTCTTTTCCTTCATCTGCCTAAACCTGTCCCCTTAGCATATCTTGGAGTGCTGGTTTGGCAGAGATGTATTCTTTTAGCCTTCTCTTGTCTGGGAAACTCCGTATTTCCCCTTCTATTTTAATGGAGAGCCTAGCTGGGTAGAGCAGCCTTGGCTGTAGGTCTTTGCTTTTCATGGCTTGGAATATTTGTTGCCATTCACTTCTGGCTTGTAGCGTTTCTGTTGAGAAGTCAGCTCCTAGGCGTATCGGGGCCTCCTTGTATGTTACCTTCTCCTTCTCTCTTGCTGCCTTGAGAATTCTCTCTTTGTCTTTGACATTTGCCATTTTAATGATGATGTGTCTTGGAGTGGACCTCCTTGATTTCCTCTTGAGTGGGGTCCTCTGTGCCTCCTGGATCCATGAGAGCCTTTCTCTCCTCAAATTAGGTTAATTTTCCATCATTATTTTTTCGATGAGGTTCTCTATCTCTTGTTCCTCCTCTTCTCCTTCTTGTATCCCTATTATATGGATATTATTGCATTTCAGGTTGTCCTGTATTTCCCTTAATGCCTCTTTAATCCTTTTGAGCCATTTTTCCATTTCTTGTTCTTTCTGGGAGCTTCTTTCTACCTTATCCTCCATGTCACTGATTCGATCCTCGGCTTCATCCAGCCTGCTTTGGATTCCTTCTACTGTGCTCTTCAATTCAGAAATGGTATTCTTCATATCCTCTTGTGTCTTCTTGATAGTTTCTATGTCCTTTTCCAGGCTGATATAGTTTGCTGTAAGATCCTGATAGTTTCTCTGCAGTTTCTCATAGTTATCTTTGAGCTGTCTGAGCTCATTGAGCTTCCTTAGAACCATTGTTTTGAATTCTATATCTGATAGTTCCCTTGCCTCTATTTCATTGAGCTCTCTCTGTGGGGAGTCCTCTTTTCCACTCATTTGAGGGGAACTTCTTTTTCTTCCCATTTTTGTGAGAGTCTGTTAAGTATTTTTGTCCTGTACTTTTCTTTCTGGGCTTGCCTCTAATGATGTCAGTTGTTCAGTCTATAGGGCCTTGGGTTGTTTGTTTGAGCCTTCCAGGAGTCTAATGCCTGTGTCTGACTCCTGCTTGGAGCAGCTCTGTGACCCCTTTGGTCAGGGCTAGGCTATTTTTTGGGATCTCTCTGCGCTGTCTTGCAGGCTTCTTGAGCGCGCTCTCAGCGTGGCAGGATCCCCTACCTGCCTGGGCTCGCTTGTCCTTGCCCCAGACAAGGGGGCTTTTTCGCGACCTCGCTTACTCACCTGGCCCCCTGGCCGGCAAGCTCTGTGGCACTGGTCTGTTTAGGGTCTTCTATTGTGTATTTTCCCCGCTTTTGGCTCTTTGGGTGCGTTGCTTGCCCTCACCAAATGGGGACTACGGAAATGGGAGGAAGTCAGCTCCAGGACTCTGGTTAATCCTGTCTCTGGTCTCTCCTCCAGGGACTCTGGGCAGCTCTGCTAATTTTGTGGGCCGCTCTGCAATCGCAGACGGCAGTCAATTTACGCCTGCCCTTGCCGCTCTGTGCAGTCTCTTGTAGGCCATATGGGTGCCACTCTGTGGGAGGCCTTGCCGGCCAGTGCAAGCAATCGCCAGCCCGCGCGGGTTACACACACGCTCGCCAACCCTCGCTGGTCACTCAGCGCAAGTGTGCGCGCCTGCACTGGGTGTTTTGGGGGTGTCTATGTGTGCTTTTTGGCTTTTGGCTCTTTGGGGGTGTGGCCTCTTCCTGTGCAATGGAGACTAGGGCAAGAAGAAGGAGTCGGGACTCCCCGGTTCCTCCTCCCGTTCTTTCCCCAATGCCTCTGTTTCCAGACTCTCTTCAGGGGCCTCTAGGCAGTTCCCTGACTCCTTCAGCCAAAGATCCACCCCCTGTGCAAACTGCGTTTCAATCGCAAGCAGTCTGGTTCATGCGCGCCCCACTTCTGCCTCTTTGGGTTCCGGCCTTTCCAGCCCACACTGGAGACTACAGGACGGGGAGGTAATCGAGACTCCCGGTTCCTCCTCCCATTCTTTCCCCAACCCCTCCATCTCCAGTCTCTCCTCAAGGCTTTCCCAGCCAGTCTGCACTCAGCCCCGTAGCTCACAGGCGTACAAGCTGTGTGCAGAGTGCACAAAAGGCAGGTTAATTGATTCCCTTATGCCTGAGCGAGATGGGAGCTGCAGAGTGGGAGGCGTGCCATCACCAGGGCTCCACCGACCGCTGTGTCAGTTCTCTTCACAAAGTTTTCCTCACCAGTCTTTTCACAGGCACCAGGCCACCCTGTTGCCGCCTCTACCCAGAGATCAAGGAGGGTGGCTGCCACCGCTACTTCCGTTTGCCCTTTAAGTGTCTCTTTGCATCCCCAGCCACCTGTCTCTGGCAGAGAGCGCCTCTAAGCTTTTCGGGGTTGCATTTTGTCTGTATTTTCTTGGCTTTAGCTGCTGTACTTTAGAAGTTCCTGTTTATGATTCAGACCCTGTTCTTCTCGGGGGGAAGCTAACTGGCTGTTTCAATGTCCCTCTGGTGCCAGTACCCATGGGCACACAGCCCACCCTCTCGAGCCTCGAGCGCACTTCTCACCCGTTGGGAAGTGTGAGAGTAGAATCCACTGTCCGTGGCACCAAGGTTCCTCTCCCACTATCACTCCACTGCTTTCCAGGTGATTACTCCCTTATTTAGTTGCAGTTCCAGTTTGGTTTTGGGAGGAGGTCAGCGTGACTCCCATTCACTCCTCCACCATCTTCTCTCCTTCAATTTCTTTCTTTGTCCCAGTTTAACTGAATTTAATTTGAATGCTTGAAGTATTGTACTTTTATTTATAATATTGTATCAGTTTGAAAAAAAATTTATTTGGTTTGATTAAGGATGTTTATTTTTCTTTCTAGATTACTGCCATATGATTTCACTTATATGTGAAATGTAAAACTGAATGCAACAAATTAACAAACAAGAAAAAGATACAAAAACTTTTAAACAGACAACAATATGGTGGTTACCAGAGGAAAGGGTGTAGAGGGTAGAAAATGATAAAGTGGGTCAAATATATGGTGACAGAAGATGATTTTAAGTGGTGGGCACACAATGCGGTATACAGATCATGTACCATACAAATGTACACTTCAAACCTATGTAATATTATTAACCAATGTCACCTGAATAAATTTAATTTAAATATAAAGTAAAACTCTAGGTGTTTAAAAAAATGTTAAATTTTATTAATATATTCCTAGTGTATAAAATGAATATACTTTAAGCCTGGCAGTATAGTATATACTTTTTAAAACAGTGTCAAAATTATTCATTTTAAAAGCTCTTTATTGATATTTCTTTCACGTGTTAACAAATTGAAAAGAACATGATATCCTTTACCTGTAAAGCTTGTTTCAGTTGTTCCTGAATGGCTTTGTTCTCAGTTTCCAGAGCACAAGCTATTTTCTAGGATGAAACACAAGAAGGGGTAGAGGAGTATTCATTTTGATATTTTTGTTTTTATTAATTTTTGTTACACTTATTACCTTTCTAAAATCCATATATGGAGCCAAGATGATGATTTAAACATAAATATTTACTGCACACTTCTCAGGCATAATGATGGACAATTTCTGTAGCCAGACTTTCCTATTGATTTTTCATATGCAAACTGACTTTGAATCTGGCAAGTTGTAACTACAGTAAATTAAACAATTTATTTCTAGTTAAAAAATGAACATTTAAAATTTTATGAAAAGAAGCAACATTTTTCTTAACACAAAATAAGCATAGTTCAGATTTTGTAAGTAGGTGTAGATTCTAATACACATGAAAGAGCTCAAGAATTCTTCACCAGATGAAAGAGAGTTTGAGGAAACATCCCTAAAGTCCCCATTTTTGCTTTGGTATAGCATAGAAAATTCCTACTGGACAAACCCAGACACACATAAACACCATAAACTATGAACAAACTACAAATAACAATATTTCAAAGCAACCAAGAGTAGTTAGATTCTTGAAAGAAAGTGACCAAGAGTAGTAAGATTTTTGGTTTTTGGCTCCTAGTCTGAGGGCAAGCCCCAACTGAGCCAGGCAAGGAACCTGATAACTGATATAAAGCCTGAGTTTTTAGACCTTACAAACCAGGTAACAGAGTTCAGGACAATAATAGCCACTGGAAATGCAGGGGAAAATCAGACAAAGTAGAGAACCAGAGACCGGGGAGCCACAAACTACATAATCTCATCCCAAATCTTCCACTGATCTCTAAAACACATATAGATAGAGAAGAATCTACTCAGCTCAGCAAGAGCCTTAAAAAAGGCCAATTGAGCTCCTGCCTATACACAGTATTTTTTTTTAAATAAATGCAATACATTTTAATTAAAAATAGTAAACACTGGATATTTACTGAGAAGTAGGAGTTACTAATTTTCTAAATTTGATGCTGATATTTTACTTCCATTAGAAGTGTTTATATTTTAGAGATACATATTTAATAACTTATGAATAAAATGACATGATAGTATAGGAATGGCTTCACTACAATCCGGTGAGACCAGGAAGTAGAGTTTAGATAAAATAAGATTGGCCACATGTTGGTAATTGTTAATCAGACTTTTTTTTTAAATTATTTTAATTTATTTTTTCAAATACATTTGTCTCTGCCTACCCCCCACCACTTTGCCTTGCCCCCTCCCTCCTTCCCTCCCTCAGCTCTTCCCCTTTGGTTTTGTCCATGAGTCCTTGCTATATGTTCCTTGACTTTCCCCTTCCCTTCCTTTTCCTTATTTTTTTTCCTTTTTTTAATCTCTCTCTCTCTCAGTATATATTTTTTAAATTTCTGTTCAAACATAATACTATATGCTTCTCTTCTCTTGCTCCATTCCACCTTCTTTCCATTTTTTATTTGTGATATAAATTTTACTTTCTCTCTTCACCTTGCCTTAATTCCTCCTCCCTCTATGCTCTCAAAATCATTTTTCTTTCAGTTAGTTATCTCATATTCACTTCTCCTTTCTTATAATAATCTTAATTTCTTTAGGCCCTTATTAATACTGGCTTATTTGCTGTTGAGAGTGTGATTGTGTATGGGGGTAATTTGTGCAGGTGTGGGTTTGTTTCCTGGGCTGTGTAGTTTTGTTGTGATAGCACTTGCACAACAGCATACAAGACATGGAGGGCAGAGTGACTCTCAGTCAGCCAGAAGGAGGGAAGGGCCCACCAAAGAATGACCCCAAAACAACCAAAACCCAATTACAACTACAGAACATAAATGGCAGAAAGGGCATCCCAGGAGCATCAAGTTCAGGAGTAGAATGCATCACTGAATCCCAAAGGTCTTCTGCCATAGAAGTTCATACCACTAAGACAGGGAGTCAGAGCAGATCAATCTAAAAACCTAAAACAAACAAGAAGGGTACCTAAAATGGGGAGACAAAAAAAAAAAGCAACCCTCCGTTGAAAGGAATGGAGAAATCCCCAGAAAGACTGCCAAATGAAATAGAGGCAAGTAAACTGTCAGACATTAAAGTCAAAATAATGATTATAAGGACACTCAAGATCACTGAGAACTACGAAAAACTACAGGGAAGCTACTAGTAACTTACTGCAAACTGCATCTGCATGAAAAAGGACACAGAAACTATCAGTAAGAGCCAGAAGGAAATGAAAAATATAATATTCCAAGCAAATGGGCAAGAGAAGAAAGCAGGAGTAGCAGTACTTATATCAGACAAACTAGATTTCAAAACAAATGCCATAAAAAGAGACCCAGAGGGGTGTTTTATAATACTTAAAGGAAGAATCTATCAAGAAGACATAAATATAATAAATTTATATGCATCCAACACAGGGGCTCCCAAGTTTATAAGGAAAATCTTGGACGACTTCAAAAAAGATATAGACAGCAACACACTGATAGTAGGGGATTTCAACACTCCACTGTCAAAAATGGACACATCTTCCAAACAAAACATCAATAAGGATATTGTGGAGCTGAATGACACACTGAATCAAATAGACTTAACTGAGATATATAGAACTATACATCCCAAAGAAGAAAAATACAAATTCTTTTCAAATGCTCATGGCTGTTTTTCAAAGATAGACCATATGATAGTACACAAAGCAAACCTCTGCAAATTCAGGAAAATTGAAATACCAAACTTTTTCTCGGACCACAAGGGCTTGAAACTGGAAATCAACTTCAAAGACAAGCTTCAGAAACTTGCAAACTCATGGGGACTGAACAGTAGACAATTGAACAATGAATGGCGCAATAATGAGATAAGAAATCAAAACATTTCTGAAAACAAATGAAAATGAACAGACAACTGTCCAAAACCTATGGAACACAACAAAGGCAGTCCTGAGAGGAAAGTTCATAGCAATACAGGCTTACCTAAAAAAGATAGAAACATTTCAAATAAAAGACCTAACACTACAACTACAAGAACTGGAGAAACAACAACAAATAAATCCCAGAGCAAGTAGAAAGAAGGAAACAGTCAAGATTAGAGCAGAACTAAATGACATAGAGATGAAAAAAAAAACAATTCAGAGGATCAACCAACCCAGAAGCTGGTTTTTTCAAAAGATAAATAAAATGGACAAGCCTTTAAGCAGACTCATCAAAAAAAAGAGAGAGGAACCAAATTAATAATAACAGAAATGAAAGAGGAGAAATAAAAACTGATACCACAGAAATACAAAGGATTGTCAGAAACTACTATGAACAATTATATGCCAAGGAATTTGAAAACCTTGATGAAATGGACAAATTTTTAGAAAAGTATAATCTTCCAACACTGAAGAAGGAAGAAACAGAAAGCTTGAACAGTCCGATAACAGATGGGGAAATTGAAGCAGTAATCAAGAAACTCCGGGCACACAAAAACCCAGGGCTGGATGGTTTCACAGGAGAATTTTACAAAATATTTAAGGGAGAGCTAACCCCTGTCCTTCTCAGACTATTCCAAAAAATCCAAGAGGAGGGAAGACTCCCAGACTCTTTCTATGAGGCCAGCATCACCCTAATCCCAAAACCAGATAAAGACCCTTCCAAGAAAGAAAACTACAGGCCAATTTTGCTGATGTACATAGATGCTAAAAACCTCAACGAAATATTGGCAAACTGCATCCAGCAATACATTAAAAAGATTATCCACCATGATGAAGTGGGATTCATCCCAGGGATGCAGGGATGGTTCAATACACACAAGTCAATAAATGTAATACATCACATAAATAAAAGAAAAGACAAAAACCACATGATCATCTTGATCGACGCAGAAAAAGCATTCTATAAGGTACAGCACCCATTAATGATCAAAACACTCATCAAAATGGGAATAAAGGGGGAATTCCTCAACGTAATATCAGCCATATATGAAAAACCTACAGCCAACATCATACTCAACGGGGAAAAACTGAAAGCTTTCCCACTAAGATCGGGAACACGACAAGGATGTCCGCTCTCACTGCTTCTTTTCAACATCGTATTGGAAGTCCTAGCCACAGCGGTCAGACAAGAAAAATAGATAAAAGGCATCCAAATAGGAAAGGAGGAAGTAAAACTATCATTGTTTGCAGATGACATGATAGTGTACATAGAGAACCCTGTAGACTCCACCAAAAAACTCCTCAACCTAATAAGTGAATTTGGCAAAGCAGTGGGATACAAAGTCAACATTCAGAAATCCAAGGCATTTTTGTACACCAGCAATGCAATAGAAGAAGAAGAAATCAGAGAAAAAAATACCATTTGATATAGCAAGAAGAAAAATAAAGTACCTAGGAATAAATTTAACAAAACAGGTAAAAGACCTGTATGCAGAAAACTATACAACATTGAAGAAAGAAATTAAGAAAGACACAAATAAATGGAAGCATATACCATGCTCATGGATTGGAATCCATGATATCATCAAAATGTCCATACTACCCAAAGCAATTTATAGATTCAACACAATCCCTATTAAGATACCAATGATGTATTTCACAGAAATAGAACAGACATTTCAAAAATTTATATGGAACCATTAATGACCCCGAATAGCCACAGCAATTTTGAGAAAGAAAAACAAAGTAGGAGGGATCACAATACCAGACATCAAACTCTACTACAAAGCCACTATACTCAAAACAATCTGGTACTGGCACAAGAGCAGACCCATAGACCAATGGAACAGAATAGAAAGCCCAGAAATAAGCCCAGGGCTGTATGGGCAACTTACATGTGACAAAGCAGGCAGGAGCCCAAAATTGAGCAATAATATCCCCTTCAACAAATGGTGTTGGGAGAGCTGGACAGCTACATGCAAAAAATTGAAATTGGATCATCAGCTGACACCATACACAAAAATAAACTCAAGATGGATAAAAGACTTAAATATAAGTCGCAACACCATCAAAGTCCTAGAGGAGAACATTGGCAGGAAACTCTCAGATATCCCAAGCAGCAATTTTTTCACCAATATGTCTCCTAAAGCAAGGGACATAAAGGAAAGTATAAGCAAGTGGGGCCTCATCAAAATAAGAAGCTTCTGCACAGCTAAAGAAAATACTAGCAAAATGAAAAGGGAGTCAATGGTATGGGAAAATATATTCGCTAATGATACATCAGATAGAGGTTTGAAATCCAAGATATATAAAGAACTCACACGACTCCACTCCAAGAAGACAAATGATCCAATCAAAAAATGGGCAAAGGACCTGGGCAGATGCTTTTCCAAGTCAGAGATAGAGAGGGCCTAGAGACATTTGAAAGGATGCTCGGCAACACTAGCCATCAGAGAAATGCAGATCAAAACCACCATGAGGTACCACCTCACACCGGTCAGAATGGCCATCATAAACAGATCGACAAACAACAGGTTCTGATGAGGCTGTGGAGAAAAGGGAACAATAGTACACTGTTGGTGGGAATGCAGACTGGTGCATCCATTATGGAAAGCAGTGTGGAATTTCCTCATAAAGCTGAAAATGGAACTGCCTTTTGATCCAGTGATCCCGCTGCTGGATTACACCCTAAGAATTCCAGAAACTGATTCAAAAGAACCTATGCACTGCAATGTTCATAGCAGCACAATTGACAATAGCCAAGTGTTGGAAGCAACCTAAGTGTCCATCAGTAGATGATTGGATCCAAAAATTATGGTACATATACACAATGGAATACTACACAGCAGAAAGGAAAAAATAGAACTACTAAACTTCGCGACAGCATGGATAGAACTAGAGAGCATTATACTAAGCAAAATAAGCCAGGGGGTGAAAGACAAATACCATATGATCTCACCTATATGGGGAACCTAACCAACAATACAAAGATGCAAGGAAAATAAGGCCAGCAACACTGAATGGAAAAGAAATGAACAGAGACAAGAGGGATAGAGGAAAGGGGGTACAGGGCGGGGGCGGGGAAGGGAATGGGAGCGTCAGGTAACGTGAGGCATTGTCATAGCGAAAACCAAAGGGGAAGAATTGAGGGAGGTAGTGGGGGAGGGGGCAGGGGATTGTGGTGAGGGTAAGCCAGAGACAAATGTATCTGAAAAAATAAAGAAAATAAATTAAATGAAAAAAATACATTAGAGAAAACATCAACAAATGTATCAGACTATAGAAAGCTAAAGTTTAATATCAAATAATTAAAAATATTCTAGGCAATTACACAGGGAAAATAGAATTTTATTTAGAACAAAAGAAACTAGTTTAAATAATATTCACAAAGATAAGAAATTATTGTTTGCATATAATAATAAGTGGGTAACAATATGTAAAAAAAAAAAAAAGAATTTTTCTTATACCTCCTGG